GGGCGGTGACCCTCGCTGCGGTGGGCGGTGGCAGCGGAGGGTATCACCCGACGCCTCTTTTTCCCCTCTGTGGCTTGAGGTTCGCGCCCCTCTGTGGGCTGCGGGGTCCCTCGGAGTTGAGGTGGCGGGCGCTGACCTCGGGGCCGCCCCGGGCCTCCCCTCTCCAAGGGCGGCGTGGCCTGTCGGCCCAACCCCGGGCCGGGCCGAGGAAACTTGTTTTCGCGGCGGTCCGTTTAGTCAGCTTCTGCCGGCCCCGGAGGCCGCAGGGACGGGACACGAAGGCCACGCAGGTTTGCGCGGACTTGGAGGAGCTTCTCGTGTCGACTGTGGCGTCCAGCTCGGGGTGTCGGATTACTGCTTCAGTACGAATTGTGCTAGAGCGAGCGCTGTTTTCCAAGACGCTTGCTTTAAACCCGCTTTTTCCCCCCTTCTTGAAGCCACAGGACTGCCCTGCTGGCTCGTTTTTACTCCATCGTTTTTTAAGATATACTTTTCATAGGATTACGGCAGTCGAGAATGAGCTAAAAACAACACGGTTTGCGATGTTTGGTATTCACCTTTCCTTTTACTTTGCTGATTGATATTTTAATTGAGGGTTGTGCCGTATTTACATTTGCAACTCTATACATGGAAGTTTAATTGACGCAAAAGCACAGAGTTGGACGTTCTGTGACATTCTCTAATGTTCTGAATGACCACTAGAGAGGGGGGAATTGTATACAAAATTCAGATAGCAGCATATGCCAGGTCATTTTGAAGACACATTTTGTTAGATGAATCACACCCACCGCCATCGAGTGGATTCTCTGCCTCCTAACGAACCCCACCCCACCCCCGTACAGTTTCTAGGGCTCGTTTTAAAGAAGACTAACAACCTTATGAACTAAAGTCAGAAAACTCACTCTGGGTCACGAGAAATCAGGGCGGCAATTAGAGCCCATAAAAGATGTGATAGGTGAGGATTGGTGAATGCTACACTAGTTGGTCATTGCTATTAAGGTGGTTGATTTATTGTGAATGGAAACTGGTTAAGAGACTAGGTTTATCTTAGCAAGTACTTCAAAGCCATAAAGTTTTTTAGCTTACTGCCTGGTTCAATAAATGATTGTTCACTGTGACAGTATCATTATTACTTGTATTTCAGGAGTATCGTAGCCCATTGGATGGCTCCTCAGAGGTAATGACAACAAAGAGACATTGCTAATGCTCTGTCATGACCTCTCCAGCAGTTTCCTTCAGAGTTGTCCTATTCGGGTGCTGTAGCCACAGACCTGGACTGTCATTCCGACCACTGTGCCCACAGTGAATGGACCAGTGCTCCCCAGGCCACACTCACCAGGAGCAACTTGTTCTGCCTAAGTAAGAAATAGTTAAGAAGGATATTCACCTAGGGGAAGTTTAAAGGAATAAAAACAAAGGAATATAATTACGAGAGGTGAAATATTCATTAACTGGTCATTATTCCCCTAAGGTATAATTCTGTTTGTTTATTGTGGTTGATGAAACATGTAACAAATCTGTGCTGTTCAGCATAGTGATGTTTACCATGTTTCCAAATTTCCCCATCACCCCTAGTGGAAGCTCACTGTCCAGTCACCTAAGCAGTAAGTTCCCCTTTTCCCCTCTTCCCCACCACTGTAACCACTAGCTAATTTTAGCCTTTAGTAGTTCCAGGTAATTCACATAGATGAAACCTTTGACAGCTGACTTTTCACTCAGCAAACAGTTGTTTGCAAGGTTCATCTTATATTGGAGCATGTAGCCGGACTTCATTCTCTATACGGCTAGGTCATCGTCTACTCTAGTTCGACCACATTTTATTATCCATTCCTCTGTTCATGGACATTCTAGTGTTTCCACTGTTGGGCTATGGGTATAATGCTGCAGTCACACAGGGTGTACAAGTATGTGCCTCCTTTCACTTCATTGGGGCATGACCGAGGTACGGAACTCTTAAGAGGATGGGCTCAAACCGCAATTAGGAGACTGGCCTAAGACCCGCCACTGCTTCCTTGTGTCAGGACTCCCCGTGAGTCGAAACCGACTTGGCCGGCACCTAACAACAATAACATGCTATTGAATCCCATGCTTCACTTCCTAAGGACCCACCAAGTGGTGGTGCACAATGACTGTAACATTGTAGAGTCCCTCCAGGGTTCTGCAAATATCTCCACTTCCTCACCAACACCTGTTGTTTTCCATTTGTAACACAGCCTATGCTGGAAATGTTCACAAAGTAAACATGAAATCCTTTTCCCCCTCTAGATGAAGAAGCCGATTCTCAAATTTCAAATGAAATCAGACACTCAGAATAAGGATAATAACGCTTCATGACAAAACTAAACCCAGAATCCAAAGGCCAAGACTGAGGACAGCAAATCCCAACTTGAACTGTATCAGGTTTGGGGGGTGTAAGTGGTCATAATTGCTCAGAGTAGGTTTTCAGTAGATGGTCCTGGAATAAATTCAGCATGTAGCAATTCTTCATACATAGATGGAAAACTGCGCTGCTTGCCCTGCCTGACACTCCACTGAAATAAAAACTTCCTAGAGATCGATCTCCACCACCCTTAGAAATGTGGCCCTTAAAGGGCCAGAACACTCATAATGGACCCAAATTCAACCACACTTGGGCCCAGGAAGGAACCCTAGCGGTGCAGTGGTTAGGTACTGCTAACCAGGAGGTCAGCGTGTGAAACCCACTATGCTGCCACTCCAAAGGCGAAAGGGATGACAACTAATCTTAAACTATGGAAAAGGGCAATCCCGCAAAAAAAAAAATCCAATTGAAAAGTGGGCAAAGGACATAAACAATTGACTAAAAATTGTCAGGGTGCGATGTAACGATGAGAAATACAACTTTCCTCTAGTTCCTAAAGGTTTCCTTCCCGCTCCCACTACCATGACTCGAATTCTATCTTGCAGGACTGCTAGACCAGAGGAGGTACACTGGTACAGATAGGAACTGAAAATACAGGGAATCCAGGACGGGTGAGCCCTATGGGACCAGTGGTGTGAGTGGCAAAACAGGGAGGGTAAAGGGAGAATGGGTAGGAAAGAGGGAACCGATTACATGGAACTGTGTGTGACCTCTTCCCTGGGGGACAGACAACCGAAAAGTGGGTGAAGGGAGACGTCGGACAGGGCAAGATATGACAAAATACCCATTTATAAACGCTATCAAGGGCACATGAGGGAGGGGGGAGCAGGGAGGGAGGGGAAAAATGAGGACCTAATGTCGAGGGTTTAAATGGAGAGAAAATGTTTTGAGAAACGATGTACAAATGCGCTTTACACAATTGATATGTGTATGGATTGGGATAACAGTTGTATGAGCCCCTAATAAAATGTTAAAAAAAATTGACTAAAAATTATACCCAAATGGCCAGGAAACATGAAAAAAAAAAAATGCTCATGATCATTAGCCATCCAGGAGATGCAAAATCAAAACAACGAGATACCACCTCACATCAACAACGATAGCCCAATTTAACAAAAATGAAAACATGATGGAGAGGGCGCAGAGAAACTAGAACTCTCATACACTGCTGGTGAATTTGTAAACTAGTACAACCACTGGAAAGCAATGGGGCTCTAAAACAGACAAGTGGGAATAGAAACTCCATATGATACCCCAATCCCTGCTGGGTGTATACCCCAAAGAGGTGAGAGCCTTAACATGAACAGATCTATGCACTCTGGTGTCTGTCACAGCAGTGTTCACAGAAACAAAAAGGTGGAAACTCCAAGGGCCACCAGTAGAAGAACGGGGAAAGAAACATGGGTATACACACACAACAGAATAGTATGCAGCCTAAAATGACATGAACCCACGAAACACCTCCTGACATGGATAGATGGGGAGAACATCATGCTAAGTGAAGTCAGTCAATCACAAAAGGACATTGCTATCAGAATAAAAACCAAGACACAGGCTGGAGGTTCCCAAGAGAGGCGAGGTTATAGAGATAAGGGCAGTCTGCTTCTGTTGTGATTATAGCCTTGGAAACCCTATGGAGCAGTTCTCCTATAGGGTCCTATAGGATCGCTAGGAGTTGGAACCAACTGGAAGCAAAATATTGATATCCTTGGATTTTTTAAATTTCTCTCTTTGGTAGACTGAACAATTCCTGGGCTCCACAGAGGAAAACTGAAATCCTGTGATTATTTCTAGAGTATTCACCCAGCAGCCAGATCCCTGCAGTATCTGATGCTTTGTTTTGTGCTTTAAGAAAAATTCTATCTGTGGCTGAATGCTAGTTCTCAGATGAGTATAGCTACTTAGGGAAGAGAAAGAAAAAAAGCCAATAGTAGCACAGGTTGTGACAAGTTTAAAAATACTAAGAATACCATGGTTTCCTAGTACGTAACTTGAGAATGTGGTTATTTTAATTGGGTTACCAAATATAGCTTCACCTTCCGAAATCTCAGCTCTCAGTGAAGGCTATACACTACCTTCATCTGGGGGGGGGGCAGACCCACTCCTTTCTGCTTCCTGTTTTAAAACTCTAAGCCTGTGTGTGGGTGTGAACACAGCCCCCCCACCCCACCCCATCTATTTTCTGGTGGTACAACTATTGAGTATAGGAAGAACTTTCTCTTCAGTTTTCTGCTTTTCCATTTCCAAAAGACATATTTTCAGAGTATGCAAATTTCTCAGTGATAATTGTCTGTTTGTGCCTTTACTACTGCATGAACATAGATGTGAATATTTGTAACTATTAATTATTCTCCCTTCAAAAATTAAATATCTATACCTTTGGGTTATAACCTTTACATGTAGTGAGAAAAATAACTTCTACCTAAAAGAATCAAATGACCTTACATTATGGGTCATAGAGGTAGACTATGTCACACACTGCCCTAGTGGCATAGTGGTTATGCTTTGTGCTGCTAACTGCAAGGTTGGCAGTTTGAAACCACCAAGCCACTCCTTGGGAGAAAGATGAAGCTTTCTACTCCTGTAACCAAGTTAGAGTCTCAGAAACTCCTGGGCAGTGCTACCTTGTCCTATACAGTCATTAAGACTCAGTTTCGACTCCATGGCAGTGAGTGAGAAACACTGTTCAGAAGTAGAGGGACAGTGCAAAAGAGGAAGGTCCTTAATAAAGGATCGAGACTGGCTATAAGGAACTTCACAATTGTGAGGATGGCTTAGGACAGGCCAAGGTCATTGTGAGTCAGGACCAGCTCCCTGACATGTAAACAGCAACATCCACAGTTTAAGTAGTTTTCTTTATAGTTCAATGGCACATAATAGTACATTTAATTAAGAGAGACCACTCAAATTTTCCTTGAGCTTCAATGAAATAAGTGTATATACTTTGCATGGCCCAGATGGAGAAACAATCTGGGTAGTGGTAAGAAAAAGGTACAATCTCTTCGGTTTCTATAAATACTGAAGTACCTGTTCTGAGTATTCTCAAGCCGGGAAGGAAACAAAACGGAGGTTAACACCGGCTTTAAAAGTTATCTCCCTCACCTCTTGTCTAAAATTAGAACCTAGATACTATCAAAATTAAATCGTTTGAATTTTTAAAAAAAGTCACCAGGACAGTTATGATCATTATTATCTGTCAACCACAAGATCATAAATAAGTTACTTAGGCAAAGCCTACTTTCCTAATTCCAGGAGAGGTAAACTTCTAAAGTTTTCATGATTGGTGCAGAATTTCAAGAACAGTTTTCCCAGCAGCTCTTGTTCATTTGGTTAGAGTTAACATGTTCCTCACCAGAGTGTCATGGCTGCAAATGTGAAACACCTTATTATTCACCATCTGTATGCTGACTGCCAATCACAGTGTCACACTTTGGTGAAATGATTTCTCCATTTCCCATTTTGAACTCATGAGATTGATGAACACCAAGAGGAACCACCTTAATAACGTGTCTAGGACTGGGAAATTATTCAGCACAGCTGACTAGTCTAATATGTTTCTAGCCGTCTTCTTTGATTGACTTCTACAGAGTACAGGTTTCAAGAGTTAGTCTATTAGTTTGAGGATAGTAATCACATACTTTTTTACTGTTAAGCATATTATGTACTTATTTATAATTTTCCTTAGGACAAAAGTCAACTTTAATACAGAAAGACAGAAAATGTAGACCAAGAAAGTCTACAAAACCAATCCAATCGCCTAGAGAACAGGTGATAGTTCCCTCTCCCCATCCCATCTTTTTCATTTTTAGGCATAGGAACATGTATGACAAACTGGATCACACAAGGTGTAGTCTGATTTTTCACTGTATACAATCTAACATCATATATAGCATGAACATTTTTCCATTTCAATAATTACTCCCATCATGAGTCTCCAAGGCTGCACAGCAAGCTGACAGGATTTGTTTAAATAGCTACCCACTCCCAACATTGGGAATATGAAAGAAACATACTGAATCACCCAGGGTTTGCAGGGCTGGTGAGTTCTGATTCAGAGACTACAGAGCTTTTTTTCTGACCAACAGCCCACTTCCTGGCTGTTCAAGAGTTTCTTGTCACAAAGCCTGACCAAGTAAGCGATTGGCCGGGCTCCTGGGCTGGGGAATGCTGCCTCTGCCGTTAATAGCTGTGTGAACAGTCCATCTATGGGCAACAGGCTGCCGCTGGCCCAGTACCTGCCTGTTTTCTTCCTTGGGCCCGTGCTTCCCAGGCTGACCCTGAAACTCCAGATACATTCTCAGGGCTAGATGATGAGAGATTCCCAGGTGGGAGCAGACAGGCCAGAGTTCTCAGCTGAGTAACAAAATGTCTCTTTCAAAAGTTGTACTGGATTGAACGGCAACCACGAAATGACTGCCCTGGGACCAAGTGGGCAGCTCATTCGGAATGTATATAAAGGCCCCCAGGGTGGGGCCCATAACTAGCCAAAGCTCAAGCTCTATCTGCCACACAAAGTGGAGGTGCAATTAGAATCTTCCCTAACACAGCTGGGGGGTTCTTAACTAAGAGGGAAAAGGCTCCCATAAAGGGTTTTGTTTTTATTTTTCCCACTTCAAGTTCCTGTCAAAAGTGCGTCCTAGCAAATTAGGCGCACGTGGGTGTGAGGTTTTGAAATGGCCACATCTCCAGATGTTCAAAGCAGCAGTGCCCCTCTCATGGAATAGAGGGAGGCTAGGGAGCCTAAGGCAGGCTTGTCCCCTCTGGAGGGGGGCCCAGGTGCCTGAAAGTCTATGACCGTATAGTTTGAAACTCGGGCAGCAACTGTGGAGTTTCCTAGAAATCTGGTCCCGACTCATTAATAAAAGTAGATGTCCCAAGAAACTGTTCCCCCCACTCCAAATCTATATATTTGTTAATGCATTCACCTTCAGTCGTCAGGCTCAATGTCAGAAATCTGCCAATAATATGTATAACAGACAACGCTTTGAACTAGTAAAACTCTGGACGGAAAAATTAAAATAAAACTTTTAAAAGCCATTCTGCCAGACAGGATCGCGACACTCCAGACGGGAGGCGCGAGCTGGGGGGTGCATCCCTGCCTAGGCGCAGAGCTCGGGTCCTCAGCGGTAGGCCGGGATCTGGCGGGCGATTAGGCAGGCCCGGAGATCCCGCTCCCCCGCGCGCGGGTGGACACTTGTCACCGTCACCCGCTGTCCTCAGTGTGGGCGTCGCAGGAGCCGGCCCGGAGGCCCGGAAGGGCGGAGGAGGAGCAGGGTGCGAGTGGGTGGTGACTCAGCCCGCGCGCGGGGGCGCAGGGAAGCGAGCCCCGGCAGCCTGGGGTTAACTGGGCGGGGCTGCCGAGGCCCCGCCCCTCCGCCCCCGCCGGCGCCCGGCCGTATTTAGCGCGGCGGCGCTGGGCGCGCAGCGTCTCTCCGCAGGGCCCGGCCGCGGTCCTCTGGCAGCGCAGGCGCTATGGAGCGGCCGGCGCCCCTGGCCGTACTGCCCTTCTCCGACCCAGCGCACGCCCTGAGTCTGCTGCGTGGCTTAAGCCAGCTCCGCGCCGAGCGCAAGTTCCTGGACGTCACCCTGGAGGCGGCGGGCGGGCGCGACTTCCCGGCGCACCGGGCCGTGCTGGCAGCCGCCAGCCCCTACTTCCGCGCCATGTTCGCCGGGCAGCTGCGCGAGAGCCGCGCCGAGCGTGTGCGGCTCCACGGCGTGCCGCCCGACATGCTGCAGCTGCTGCTCGACTTCAGCTACACGGGCCGCGTGGCAGTGAGCGGCGACAACGCCGAGCCCCTGCTGCGCGCCGCCGACCTGCTGCAGTTCCCGGCCGTGAAGGAGGCGTGCGGCGCTTTCCTGCAGCAGCAACTTGACCTGGCCAACTGTCTGGACATGCAGGACTTCGCCGAGGCCTTCAGCTGTTCGGGGTTGGCGAGCGCGGCGCAGCGCTTCATCTTGCGCCACGTGGGCGAGCTGGGCGCCGAGCAGTTGGAGCGGCTGCCGCTTGCGCGCCTGCTGCGCTACCTGCGCGACGACGGGCTGTGCGTCCCCAAGGAGGAGGCCGCCTACCAGCTGGCGCTGCGCTGGGTGCGCGCCGACCCGCCGCGCCGCGCCGCGCACTGGCCGCAGCTGCTGGAGGCCGTGCGCCTGCCCTTCGTGCGCCGCTTCTACCTGCTGGCGCACGTCGAGGCCGAGCCCCTGGTGGCCCGCTGCCCGCCCTGCCTGCGCCTGCTGCGTGAGGCGCGCGACTTTCAGGCGGCTCGCTATGACCGCCACGATCGCGGGCCCTGCCCCCGCATGCGCCCTCGCCCCTCCACCGGCCTCGCCGAGATCCTCGTGCTCGTGGGCGGCTGCGACCAGGACTGCGACGAGCTGGTCACCGTTGACTGCTACAACCCACAGACCGGCCAGTGGCGCTACCTGGCCGAGTTCCCCGACCACCTGGGCGGGGGCTACAGCATCGTGGCTCTGGGCAACGACATCTACGTAACGGGTGAGTGACGGGGACTAGCCGTCGTGACTCCAGGTTTCCCCACCCAGCCCCTGGAAAGGCAGGGGACCCCGGGGCTGGCCGCCTCCGTCCGTGGGAGAGGACATCTACCTGAGTCCAAGGGACCGGGGCCTCTGTCCCCTCCCCCCAAGCGTGACGTTTTCTTGGCTGGTACTTAAGCTGGCAGAAAGGGCCCTTGTGTGAGCCAGGACAAGTACTTGCTTGTGGGCCTCTGTTCTTTGTGCAGCTGGGCCTCCTGAACCGCCCCCTCCCTCTTCACCCCTCCCCCACAGGTGCTCCCTTATTCTCAGAAGGTCCTGGGGCTTTTACCCCACACAATGGGAGCTTTCTTTTTTTACCGTCCGGAATCCAGAGGCTGACTCCCTGTGAGCTACCCATCCACCAAGTCAACGGGGATTTTGCCTTCCTCGGAGCCCCACTGACTCACTGGTTTGTCACTGGTGGCCTTTCTGGCTGGGGTGCCCACACCTAGGAGCTGCCCTTGGATCACATGCTGTTTAGGTCAAGCTCCTCAGACTGTAAACACAGTCACATGCTTCTAGGTTTTCTTGCAGTTACTTGGCCCAGACCCTAAAACACTGCCGAGTCATGCTGGGCGGGCCCCAGCCAGCCAGCCTGGGCTCTCCCACAGTTTGTATTAAGGGTGGTGGATTGAGTTTGCACCAGAGGCGCTGTCCCCTGATGTGAAGACCACTTTATAAGGAAAGAACCCCCCTACGGAGGAGGCAGGAGATGGTGGCCCTCTTACCAGGCAGGGAGGGGGCAGGCTTGTGTGGTCAGCTTCCCTCTGGTGCTCAGGGGCTCTGGGTTGGCCTGGGGGGATAGGCCCCATAGAATGCAGCCTTTGGGCATACAGCCTCTGCCTCTTGTTCCAAGCTGAGGTTGCCCCTTGTTGGTGGGGGGCCAGGGCCCCTCTAAAATGTGGCCAGTGGCTTGGAGTCAGAAACAAGTCCCTGCTTTAGTACGCCCTCCCATAAATGTCGCAGCTAATCCTTGGGGTTTAAGCAACTGCCCTGGTCGCCCCACAGCTGCCTGTAGGGGATTTCATGGAGGGAGAGCCAGACAGGCTGCAGCTGCCTTGGACCCCTTCTCACTCGGGGGAAGAAGGCAGGTGGTGGAGTGTTAGAACTTGGTCTCCTCCCCCTCAAAGCCCAGCAGGCAAGAATGTCTCTCTGCCCTGCCCAGTGGTGGCAGCCTCAGGGTGGAGGGATTTCTGGGGCTGTGGAGATTTGACTAAAAAAAAGAGACAGTTGCTGTCAAGTGAATTCCAGCTCACAGCCACCCCGCTGTCCTGTGGCCGAGTTGGACTGTGCTCTGGAGGGATTTCAGTGGCTGGGGTGACTTCCGCAGTGGCTCTGGGCAGGCTTGGGCTTCCACTCTTGATTCACAGTGAGTGTGCTAGCTGTTTGCACCACCCAAGGGACTCTGCTGTCCTCAGGAGACATCAGACTTCCTGGATGATCCACCCAGCACCATGTTTTGGTTTTGGTTAAATTCTTGTTTAAAGAGAAGAAAGGAGCCCCTTTGGCCCAAGGGTCAGGGCATTCAGCCACTGACCAGAGTCAGCAGTTGAAACCTTCCCAGTGGCCCCTCATGAGAAAGCCCCTGCAGTCTGAGGACACCCTGGGGGGCAGCTCAGTTCCTGTGGAGTTGCTGTGAGCCAGAGCTGACTGGCTAGCACCTGACAACCATAACACAATATTGACACAAAACACTCATTCATTGGGGGAGGGGAGGGGGCAGGCAGAATACAGCCTGCTTGGATGGCTTGATGAGTTTTTACCCAGAGAACACGCCTCTGTCCCCAGCCTCAGACGTTTGCTTCAAAGTTCTAATTGCAGGATTAGGGCTGTTGTTTGTGTTGGCACCGCCTGAGGCAGGCCTGTCAGAAACCCAGAACTGGGTGAGCGTGTCCCTCCCCACCGCACCCTACACTGTGGCTCCCAGATGTGACGTAGAGACTTGGCATCCCCACCCAGTCGAGAAGTGCCCGAGAGTATATCTGGAATGACCAAGCTGGGGGCCTTTGTGTGTCCAGTGAGGAATGTGGCCCAAAGCAGGCCAGAGGTCAGCAGGGGCCCCTGGCTGGGAGAAGAGAGGCCGAGTCTTGGATGCGCAGGGGGAGTTGGAAGCACAGTGCGGTTTGTTCGGTCCTCCCCAGATGGAGGGAGGCCCCAGGCAGTCCTGAAAGGTGTGGCGTGAACTGACCGACAGGTGTGTTGTGTTCCTGGGCAGGCGGGTCTGATGGCTCTCGGCTCTACGACTGTGTTTGGCGGTACAACTCGAGCGTGAACGAGTGGACGGAGGTGGCGCCCATGCTGAAGGCCCGAGAGTACCACAGCTCCTCAGTGCTGGACGGGCTGCTCTACGTGGTGGCCTCGGACAGCACCGAGCGGTACGACCACACTGCGGACTCCTGGGAGGCCCTGCAGCCCATGACCTACCCCATGGACAACTGCTCCACCACCGCCTGTCGTGGCCGGCTCTACGCCATCGGCTCCCTGGCAGGCAAGGAGACCATGGTCATTCAGTGCTACCACCCGGACACGGACTTGTGGTCCCTGGTAGACTGTGGCCAGCTCCCGCCCTGGTCCTTTGCCCCCAAGACTGTGACGCTGAATGGACTCATGTACTTCATCAGGTGAGTCCCTGGGGGCTGACTGCATCTACCTAGGGTTTACACCAGGCAGACCCTGTGCTTATAAGGACCTCACCACCGGGCCTCCACCTCACAGCCAGGAGACCAAGGCGGAGCTGGGATTGCATCTAGGTCTTTCTGATCCTGGGAGTGCTTGCCCTGCCTGTTTCCTAGCGTTAAGTCGGGGAGAGAGAGAGAGAGCGAGAGAAGGTCTTATAGAAGCCAAATAAACTGTCTTTTTTTTCTTTTTCATCTGAGGGGGACCCCTTAAGACCCCTACTTGTACTCGTATGACATTTGTTGGAAGGAGCCTGTCACATTAGAAAGGCGCTTGAATTTGAAAGGGAGAGCCGAGTTGGTTTCTGTATTGACTTCTGACCACCACGGATACAGAACTGAGGGTCCACTGCCCATCTGAGCACAGACCTCCTGTGGGATGTGTTCCAGCAGCCGACCAACAGCCCCAGCCAGGAAGAGAAGTAGACAGGCCTGACACGGACAGTGACTTGTGGGCTTGGGCTGGCCCCATTCTCTGAGGCACCTGTCCCAGAGCTGCCCCTCGGGCTGGGGTTAAGGCTCTGGCATGCTGATCGACTATATTTATAGCATGCCTGCTTCTCTTCGCTGCTGCCCCTTTCCCCCCAATGGAAGATACCTTCTTCTGGGTGTGGGTGTGAGAGAGGCAGAAGCTTGGGTGGGCAGTTAATGCTCATCCTCAGGGTAGGTGGTTCGAATCCAGCCAGTGGCTCCTAGGAAGAGGAGCCTGGCAAATGCCTTCCGTGAAGGTCTCAGGCCAGAAAGCCCTGTAGGTCCATTGTACCCTAGTACATGGTGTCTCCTTGCATGAGGCGGGGGCTTTTGGTTTTGGTTTTTGCATGGTGGCATTTCCAGCAGCTTCGTCTGTGCGCTCGGAGGGCAGCCCTGTGCAGTTTCTGTCCTGATGCCAAGGGCACTCTGCAGTCTGGAATGAATAGTGGTCTCCTGGGGATCCACACTTGCCCTGGTCTGGGGCGGGCCCTGGTTCAAGCAGCTCCAGAGCCCCTTGTGGGAGTGCCAACAATGTGTGGGCAGGGTGAGCTCTTTGCTGCCCTCTGTGTGTGCCCACATCTGATCGCCACAGCATTCTGGTGAGCTGGACACTGTTGCTGCCCCCAGTTACAGAGACAGAGGGCAAAACAGGTTCGGGGGCTTAGAGGGACTTGTTGACAGCTGTCTTAGTGGTATAGGTTTGAACCAAAGATGTCAGACCCAGATCTCTAAGTGTAGCATCACTGTATCAAGGGGCAGTGAGAGCTAGTGGTCACCCTGTGATCTTGAAGGCCTGTCTGGCCATGGCCGAATGCCCTCTCCTTACAGGTCCACAGAGATTCTGGGGGCAGGGAGGAGCTCCCTGGTTGCTGCACACAGGTTGTGTGTGTGTGTGTGTGTGTGTGAGAGAGAGAGAGAGAGAGAGAGGTGTACTGCATGCACACTTGCTGTTTCCCTCCCTGGCATTCAGAGCCTGCTACTACTATGGAACCAGGACAGGAATGGGGAAGGTGTGAACGACCATCCCCTTGGCCTCCCTCTCCCCCTCCCTCTCCCACTGGTCCTTGTCCCTGTCCCAGCCTGAGGGTCCCTCCAAGGAATGAGCTGGACTTTGAGGGTGAGCAAGTGCCCCTGGGGACACTATGGGAGTGGCCCCTTGTTGCCCTATGCCAGGAGCCTCGGATGGACTTCATGAAGCCCTGGAACTGCAGCCAGGGCCGGGGCTGTTAGAAAATGACTCCTGGCCCTTCCAGCCCGCGCCAAGGTAGGTGTCCTCAAAGGGGGTGTGGGGACAGGATGCTCTAAATATAGTTGATCAGCGTGCTAGAGCCATGACCCCAGCCCCTCAGTGGCAGTTCTGGGACAGGTGACTCTGATCATATCCTCCCTATCCTGAGGTTCTGGAGCAGGACATGCCTACGGGCCATTCTGTCCACGTCTCTTTCTGGTCTGGTTCACCTGTCAGATGCTGTGCCTTTCCATGTAGAAATGTTGGGGGTGGACCCCACCCTTGGTGTGGGGTAAGGGATGCAGCCCCAGCATGTGTCCTGTCCTCCTGGCTTACCCACACTGTAACACGAGGCAGCAGACTGGGGTTCTCTCAGTGGGGAGTGGGGGTTGTTGGGGGATGTTAGCTGAATGACAGAGAGAAGCTCCGGGGAAGGGGGAGGGCCTGAGGTTGGGGTCTAGTGCCATTTGAGTGCTGGTCTTAGTGCTTTAGTGCAGGTAGCAGGTGACCTCTGACTCGGAGTCCACCTGCCTCTGGCAAATCCTTCCCGAAGGTGCAGTTCCCAGGCAGGCAGCCAGCCAGTGCTGTGTGGGGTCCACAGTCACTCCACTATCACACTCATTACCATTAGGCACTGAGCAGTGACCTGCTGGTCCCTCCCCCACGAGCAGTGTTCGTCCCCTCTAGGCTCCGTGAGAGGGAGCTTCTTGGCTGGAATGCACCAAGTCTCCCAAAGGTCAGGCCTTTGCTCTGGGGTGGGGTGGACAGTTTGGGGAAGATGTTCCCTGCAGGTTCCACAGTTTAATTATTGTTTTAGAGGGCCCGTGAGCTGAAAATGGGCCTTTACACCCTGAGATAGTTGGAAGGAAAGTCGAGAACGGAGCCTTGTACCGCGCTGTGTGAAGACTGCAGGAAATTGCATGTCCGTGTCTGTGTGTCGGTCGTGCTGAGGCTGAGACCCCGGCAGCCGTGCGTGTACGTCTGGCCCAGCGGCTCTTGCGCCACGTCCACAGAGCCAAGTAGTTGCGAAAGACACCATCTGGCACACAAAGCCAAAAAATCTTTTTGGCCCGGCCTTTCAGAAAAGTGTCTGCTGACCCCTTGCCATCGTGTCCCAGGGCATCCCAAGTACTGCACGCTGGGTGGCTTTGAAACACAACAGGAAGTGGTCTGACAGTTCTGCAGGCCAGACATGCCTGTAGCCGGGATGTCCGCAAGGCCGTGTTCTCCAAAGGCTGGAACTAGTGGGGGATCCTCCTTGCCTCGCTGCCAGCTTCCAGCGGGCTCCAGCAAGCCCAGTGCTCCTTAGGAATTGATGCATCGCTCCCAGGAGCCTGCCCTCACATGCCGTCAGTCGTCGCCATCTGTCCATCTGTGCCGGGATTAAAGCCGGGGCCTACCTAGCCCCGCATGACCCGGTCTTAATTCCAGCCTCAGACCCTATATCCAAGTGAAGTCGTGTCCCCCAGTAAAGGCCCCGGTCTTCACAGGACACCCTTCGGCTTGCTGACACTGCTGCTATGTGGTCATTATTACTAAAATTCCACTGCCATTACTCAGGACCCCAGGGAGCAAGGTGGGCTATTCTCAGAGCTGCTAGCCAGGAAAGCAGCTGCTCGGGCCCCCCCCTCCCCCCTGGGTGCTCTGTGAAGAAAGAGGAGGCTGCCTGCTCTTGGAAAGATCTCACGATTCGGAAACCCCAAGAGGCAGTTTTCATCTGTCTCATGAATCCGAATTGACAGGACGGCAGTGAGTTTGGTTATCATCACTCCCCACCCCCAAGTATCCATACAGTTCAAGGAAAGACTGTGCCTTTGAACCTTTTGTTACAGGGCAAGGGTGAGGGCTGCAGGTGGGAGGATCTGGGCCCCACAGGGCAAGGCCTGGCTGGTCTCTTCTTTCTCCTCGTGCCTGTGGCACTGGGGGCTCGCCGTGGTGCTGGGCAGGGCAGGGGTTGGTGAGTGGTCAGGATATGTGAGGGCAAGAGGTCCGGTCTGGGTCTGGACTGGTCAGCCATGGAGGGCTCCCTGGAGAGGAGCTTAGGGTTGAGTGGAGAGACTGAGTAGGTGACGTGGAAGGGCAGAGGCACAGGGAGATGGGGTTGAAAGCCTGAGGCAGCACAGGACCCGTGAAGTCCAAGCACTGCAGGGCACCCGTGCGGCTGCAGCCGGGCAGCTAGTCCAGCGCTGGTGGAGAGAACCTCAGAGGTGGGTGGTTGAAGGGGCTGTCCTTGGGGCTTAGGGTGCAAGGCTGTATTCCAGCCTTGGTACCCTGGGCAGGACCAGGCTGAAGTGTGCACCTGGAATTGGTGCCTGAGAACCAGAAACCAGTCCTGTCCAGTGCATAGAGTGGCTAAGTGGCATCAGAGAATCCCAACTGGCCTGAAGGAGCCGGGGTCCAGAGCCCCCACAGGGGCCTGCAGGGCTGTGCTCTGGGAGCTGACCTCACGTCAGCCCTCCCCACCCTGACCCGCCTCTCCCTCCCCCTCGCTCCTCCACAGGGACGACGCGGCCGAGGTGGACGTCTATAACCCACTGAAGAATGAGTGGGACAAGATCCCTTCCATGAATCAGGTGCGTTTCCCACCGTGCCCGCAGAGCCGAGCCCCGGGTCCGGGTACGCGGTGCGGGTGCGCTGTCATCACCCTCTGACAGGCAGTGGTGAGGACGGGCAGGGCCTGCGGGGGGTGGGGGGTTCTCCCATGGGGTGGGTGGAGGCTGTGCTGCTCTCGAGGTGCCCTTGGGGCTCAGCTAAGGCACAGAGAGGTTGGCCTGCACAGTTCGCTGGTGAGTTCTGGGGACTCGGTGGAGACCCAGACAGCCTGAAGCCCTGGCCCTCAGGGACTGTCACCGTGTCGGGAGGTGGCAGTGGGCAGTCGTGGTATTGCCCTGCCTGGCCTCCTGTGTAAGTGCCGAGGGAGCGGCAGGGGCACTGGGGTGA